CCTACTTCTGCATTTTCATTCCTCTCCTCTCCAAACTGCCTCTCCTAGGCAGAACCCCGGGTTCATCAACCATGCTGAGGTCCTAGTGGGAAGTGTGAAGGCCTGGACCATCCAGCCACTCTCTCCAGCTTCATTTCCTCTGCAAAGCAGAACCTACCTCCACCCTACCATTCTCTTAGGCTTTTCTGAAGCTCACCTGAGATCTTGGCTATGACTAAATTTTTTGAGGCCAAAACATCATGCCTGGGTTTAATGAAGCCATGGTGATGCCAAATATTAGAAGCTACTGTCGTTCGAATGTCATGTACCAAACACTGGACTAAGTTATCCATACAGAGCAAACAACCCCTGAGGGCAGGGACCTCATCCTCTTGTTCACTGCTGTCCATCTGGTGCCTGGAACAGCACCTGGCGTGTGAAGGTATCTTTTCCATCCTTGTAACTACAGGCACCCGTAGCTTAATGACAGGGAGGCATTCTGAGAAATGCATAATTGGTGAGTTTGTATCATGTGAACATTACACTCTAGATGGTGGAGCTGCTACCCAGAGGCTAGAAGGTAGAGCCAGTTGGGACCACTGTCATATATTCAGTCTGTCATAGACCTAAATGTCATTAAGTGATACATGACTGTATCCAATGAGGCAACTATGATTACTAGCCAAGGTACAGATGAGGACCAGAGAAGTGATATGACATGAAGGACTCATATAAGTTTAACCTATGGACTCTGAGGTCAGGCTCCAGTTAGAGGAGATTTAACAGAGCACCCCATGCAACAGGGATGGGGCTCAGGCAGACCTTTAGGGCACCCAACTCTGTCAAGTAATCTGTTCTCCACGCTATCAGTGTAAGCTGAAATCATGATTAATACCAGCATTCCTTCCTCCCAGTTGGTTTATATAGCTAAGTCATTTTCTTCCCTGAGCCTCATTTTTCCCATTTGCACAACAGTGATAATAACCTCATCTACTTCAAAGAACTGTTTGTGGATCCGATGGGGGGAAAATACTGTATAAAGTATGTGACAGTGCCTGTGACAGAGAGCATTTCCTTTTCCCTCTATTCATCAGTCATCTTAAGCTGGTAAACTTCTATTCATCCTTCAAAACCCAGCTCAAATGTTCCTTTGCTGTCTCAGACAACAGATAACATTGTTTGGTCCTCTACTACATATTGTACTTGCTTCCACTGCTGTCAAGGGTGATGTTTAAAATATTCAACAACTGGTTGAGTATGTATATTGTCCTATCATAATGTAGCCGGCTTTTGCACTGAAGAGATGCTACTTATTACTCTGTAGTTGTACGAATGTCTAGAAAGTGTCAGTGGAGGGAAGGGATGGTTAAGTTGATTGGGGGCAGGGGGTGACAGGGTTTATTTACTAACTGGGCATTAGGTATTTGGGTATTTTAACAACTGTAGGTGCCGTATTGGTACTTACCACTCAGTCTCAGTCCCAATTACAACACTTATCTCACTGTATGACAGCATTCTGTTGAATGCTAGATTGTGAGCACTGGTGCTCAAGGTGAGTTTTAACAAGGCCTGTTTCACGAAGACAGTTTTACTCAACTGTCTGTCTCCCCAGGGTCTTGAACAGAGCTGGTTATGTGGAGAAAAGGAATATGAGTGAGCTGTGAAGGGTCCCTGCTCCTTGGGACTTGCCATTTGGGTTTAGGTCCTGACCAGGCAAAAGGACATCAGGTTATCTTTATCTTACTAACCAAGATTTCAATATGACAGTAGACAACTTTGCATATTCATATATGCAAATACACACCTTGATATAATGCTCTTGATTTTTAAAGAGTTTGTGTCTGTGAAAACCAGCAATGGAGTGTGGTGGGGACCATGGCATCAAAGAACTCTTGTTCATCTCCAGAACCCCAACTTTGCCCTGGAATTCTATCACCTTCCTAGACTCCAACCTTCATTTCCCATGTAGCTAACTCCTGTTCATCTTTATTTTCCCACCTAGTGGTCATCTACCCCATCCCCGATCGCCTTCCCTGACAGCTTACCTCCCATCCCACCTCAGCATCTCCACATTAGTTGTTGGGTATTGCCAGTGATGGTTTTATCTTGCCTGTGTTCCTCATCAGAAGGCATTCTAAAAGTCCTATGAGAGCCCGATCCTTTATAGATGTGCACTAGATACTGGTGGACTTGATGTATTACTGAAAATGACTTCACTGTTCTTTCTCTTTAACAAAGGATGTACGGAACCCAGAAGCACGAGAAGAAGGGGTCCCCATTCTCATACTGACTCTTCCCGACTAGCCTGAACTCAACTACACGACCATCACCTCTACCGCCACTGCTGCTACCACTGCCACTTCTACTGATAAGACTATTGCTGGTACTGTCGTTAGCAGCCAACAGCACATAACATGCAGCTCTTGCTTGTTATAGTCTACAAGCTTTACTTATACCAAGTTATCGAATCTTCGTAACATCCCTCTTAGGAGGTAAGTCTTAGTGTGAGCCTCATTTTGCAAATCTGGAGGAAATGTGGGCACAGCGTGTGCATGTCACTCACTCAGGTGCCACAGCTGGTAAGGCAGAGCCAGCATCTGGAACGCCGCCCTTAGAGCACTACTGTGCTGAACTTTGCCCCATGCCAAGGCTGGCCTCAAGAGTTTGTGTTACATTGCTTCTGTTAAACAAAGCTTTTGGAGAAGAGACTTGCTATCTGCATGTATTTTTTTTTAAGACTTTTTTTTAACAGATAAGGGAAAGACTTAGATATCTATCCTGTACAAGAACCTGTATGAGGCTGCATTATTGTAATCCTTGTAATCCTATGACTTGTCATAGCCTGTGGAAATCATTTCTCTTCTAGGAGCCTCAGTTTCTCCTCTTGTAGTCAGGACACTGAACTAGGTGAGCTCTCTATGCTTCTCCTTCCTAGGGGCAGATGACCTTTCAGCTCTTCTGCATGGGGCTGGACCTTGGGAGGACATTGAGGTTTCCAGAACCAACAACCAATCTGGGATCTCACCAGCTGCTGTGGAAGGACCTTCCTTCTTTGGTTTGGACAACACTCAACTTTTTTTGCAACTTCTAGACAGACAGGACCTGTTACCCATCACAGTAGTGAGAAAGCAAAGGCCAGTTGCTCCCAGTGTCACTTTTTAGTGACGCCCTATTGGGCCACGGTGATCAATGTCCATGACCAGGGAGACTGGGGGATTTCCTAACTTACATGTTCTTTTATTTTTTAAAGATTTATTTATTTATGCATACAGAACTGGGGTACAAGCCAGAGGTTCAGGGGCGGTGAGAGGATTCACCAGAGACAGAGTGGGGAGCAGAACAGGCAGACAGACAAAATAATACTGCTGAGGGGAGCAGTGGGTGGGTCAGGAGAGGTCTGCTGCACCATGTGGGTCACCTCCATGGGCGGGGATCGAACTGGAGCTGAAGTGGCTTTAGCTTCTTAGTGCTGCGTTTACCCATTGCACCACCAGGGAGGGCCCCTACACATGTTCTTTTATCTCTTATTAAGCCATAGTTTAAACTTGCTTTCATCCTTGCCTGGAGACCAGACCTGGGCTAATCTGCCCACTTCCGAGTTGAGGAAGTTGAAGCTGGGAGGGGTAAAAGAATAGGCCGACCAAGTCAAGAGCGAACCTATGGCCTTCAGACTCTGCCATTCAGACTCTGCCTCTCGTAGGGTATTCTGGGAGGGGGGATTGCAGGTGGGTACTCCCTCTGCAAATCCTCTGCAACCAGAGGCATCTGACAAAGAGCTGGGGAGAGTTGTACATGGTTTCAGGTGGGTAGAGGACACAGACATTACTAGGCCCTGGTGAATCAAGGTGCTAGGCAGGTAAAGAAGAGTTTCCCCAATTCACTGCATACGACTGTGGTGTCCTCCATTGTTCACCATCTCATTCTCTTCCTTGACCTTCCTGTAAGCACCCCTGGACTCTTCCTTACTTCCATCTCATCCTGTCTAGAGGAGCAATTCTCTTAAGTCTTCAGATTCACCTGTAGCTGGAGGGGAGAGGTCCCTCCCCAGCTGGCAGCTGTGACTGCAGACTTCGGCCACACAGACTCTCTTACTTGTCTAACTCTACTTACTTGTCTAACTCTCCCATACTTCATCTTTTTGGCATCAACAACCTTGTATGAAAAGTGGTATTGTTTCAAGTTTGAAAACAGGTTCAAAGAGGTTAAGCCATTTGCCCAACTCATCTAGGACATGCAATGCTAGGATTGGGATTTAGATCCAACTACCTGAAACTTCCAGGAGGCAAACTACCTACTCCTTCTTCCTGACCCGAGAGAGCAAGGCAGGATTCCACTCAAAGCCGGCTTTAAATCAGATTCGCTTCTTGCTTTGCTTTGTGGCTTTATCCCAGACCTTAACCTCTCTGAGCATTGGTTTTTCTGTCCCAGGTGTGTGGGAAGAGTGAGAGCAGCTGCTGTCCCAATCCCTGAGCCCTGGTATGGACACATGTAAGGACAGTAGGCTCCTTGAAGGAAAATTCGCGTCCAAAGCAAGGCAGTGTTATACAGGTGAAATCAAATCCCAGCTGCTAGTCAATGGTCAATACTGCAGGCTAACTGATAGCAGAGCTTCACTGAGAAGCTGGGTGCTTCTATTATGTCAAAGACAAAAGTCCCCACCCCCCAAAAGAAACACTCGCCTATTGAGTCTCCCGCATGCATTCCTGCCACTGTCACTCTGGAAACCGGTATGTATTTTTCAACATTCCCCTATTAAAAAAAGTCTGCGTATTTTAGCTTGTCTCCCTCTTGCAAGCCCAAACCCCCAAGCTGAACGCTGCCAAAGGCTGGCGGATGACAACTTGCTTAATCAATATGAGGTCTGGTCTACAGCCATACCACCCTGAACGCGCCCGATCTCGTCAATCTGAGGTGTGAAAGCAGTGGGCTAGTTATCCAAAACTGCATTCACTGCCCTGGACTCGTGCCTCCACCCCCCAGTGCCGCGGCCAACCTGGCAGAGGGCTGCGCAGAATACTTACTACGCTCCTGGATGCCAGGCAGCTGAGCTGGAGGGGCCGGCTGGGCAGGTGGCTGGACCGGGCCTCGGGGCTGGCCGTGCAGAGGGTCTTGGGGCAGCGGGCAGAGTGCCTTCGGCGGGACTTCCGCCTTTCCTCGGGGGACCGGCCGCGGTGCCTGGGGGTAGGGCGATAAACCTGAGGGTCCTTTGAAGGGGACCATGGCAGAGAGGTGTTGAGGATCTGAGATGCTTCGTGTGCACACCCATGCAGCCCTCCGCCCATCGTCCACCTGCCCATTCGTTCATTCTTTGTCTCCTTTATACACTTAATACATGTTTATTCATGGATCTCACACTGTCTGGGGGTTGGGAATGCAGCTGTGAAGACAGAAAGCTGTCTGTCTGTGTCTGTGCGTCTGGGTGTGTTCATCTGTGTTTTCATGTGCTTGCCTATAAACATAACTGCGTCTATCTGTGTGCCTTTGTGTACGTGGCTTTACCATCTGTGAAACAGAGGCGTCCTATTGACAGTCACCCAAACTTTTGGGAAAAGAACAGCTGACAGAAATGAAGACGATGCTGTCTGCACGCTTGTCAGATGTCAATCTGGCTGCCCTGTGTCTGGGATGGAAACTGAAGAAATCTCTGCCTGTGAGCTCTGAGCCACAGTCTAAGAAAAAAAAAAAAAACACCTGATGGATTTTTCTGGTGCTGTCGATGCCCAAGGGCTTTGGCATGCCCTCTACATACAGCTTGACATCAAGGACAGACCAGGGATTACTTTTCCAGTTTGCAGATGAGGGAGCTGCGGGTCTTGCCTGAGGTCACACAGCTTGTAAGTGGCGGACCTGAGCCAAGGCAGCATTTTCTGCCCCTGTAGGAACAGATACCTGTAGTGTTTGTTCTGGAGCACCCTGCTATCTGCTCTAGGGCTTCTGCATCACATTTCTACCAGTGTGGGGCCTGAGCTTGTTCCCTTGCTGGCTGGAGGGTCACTTGGCCCGGCAGGCACTCGGAAGCACAGGTGGCCAGACCACAGGAGACGGACGGCAGGAGGGCTGGGTCACCCTTGGCCCGAAGAGGTGACTTTCAGGGGAGGGAGAGCCCAGCGTCCTGGGCCCTGCAGGTACAGCCTGCACCATCCTCTGGCCCCGGCCAGCAGGGCTAGCTCTCTGGCACCGGGCTCCAGCTGAGTCACATAGGCCTGGGCCATCCAGGCTCGGCCCCTCACTGGGACCTGGCTCGGTTCCCTTTGCCACCAAGACGCAGTGTTCTCCGCTGGAACCTAATAGTGCTGCTGAATCCAGTTCGTCAGTGCCCTCCAGACATAACCAGCTGGAGCACGCCTGTGCTTCAGCAAGCGTGTTTACTGAAGGAGGGGATGCAGCCACACGTCTCTGGACCTGGTGCTACAGCAAACTCTGAGGGGTCTGTGGCAGGTGACTCAGGGGGCTGTTTAAGGCACTGGGGCTTTGCTCTGGATTGGAAGTCGTCAGAAAGCAGAAGTCATTCCCCGATGGGGTGTCTATAGATCTTGCCCAGGAAGCAGAGACCAGACCGAGGCCAGGACTGGAGCAGGTAAGGACACATCAGGTGACTGGGACAGAGATGCCGGGCTGCTTTTGTGTGCTGGACGATGCTTGTGTTCTGTCTGGGCTCGCGGCCGAGTCTTGTTTTTGTTTTGATTACTAGGTGCCACAGAGCGTTCACCGGCAAAGTTCTTAGCAGTTGCTGATGTGCGACAAGAATGCCAGCCTCGGCCTCCCTGGCTGACAGCACGAGGTGCCAGGGCCGCTTTCTCTTCCTGCACCGCCTTGTCTGCACATTCACACCGGGTGGGGAGATGTCAAGTTTGCCAGCACTGGACCCGCGTCTGAATCAGCCCAGAATGTCTAGACAGTGGGTCTAAGGACTGTCAGAAACTTCCACGGTGACCCCAAAGTACAGCCAAAGTGGAGGCGCTCTGGTCTTGCTTGGCGGCAGTAATGGGATGAACTGGATAGAAATGTAGCTCACGTGTTGGCGCGGGCAGAGGGGCATTGCGACGACTGTGTCTTCTCCTTCTCCTCCTCTTCTCCCTCGCCCCCATAAACACTCTGATTTGACTGAGATGAGGTCAGTCCAGGACAGTGAACTCTGACCCCCGGAGCTGGCCTGTACAATTGGGTTGGTCTCTACATTCCTGATAGTGTCTACAATTGCAAGCATCAAGGACCACAAAGCCCCAGCTCCTTCTTAGAACCGAGAATCCCACCCACCAAGACTTCTCCATGTGCAAAAGGGCCAGGTGAGGGGAGACCTGACTTCAAAGGGCCTCCCAACTTGGTGCTCTGTGCTGTGTGACCTTCCACAGATTACTTGGCTTCTCTGTGCCTCCAGTGACTCTCAGTGACAGCGCAACTCCAGAAGTCCCAGTTTCCATCCCAGCCCTGTCTGTTAGCTGCTGACTGTCTAACGAGTTCCTTAGCTGCCTCTCTCCCTCATCTTTCAAATGTGGGTGACAAGAGTCCTCCCGTCATGGTGGGGTTTACAGGCAGATGGCAAGTGGACAGCACCTTAACACTCAGCACCTCAGCGCGCTGTTCCAGGAGCAGAGGAAGCAGTTAGTAAGCGCCGTCATTATTGCTCACTGCGTGGGGGCTGTGAGTCCCTTTCTCTGGAGGGAAGTGACCGGGGCCTCTGTCCCTCTGTACGTTGCAGCTGGGCAGTGGCTGGACAAGGACTCTGGGGTGCAGGTGGGGTGGGTGTGGGTGTGAGGGTTACCTGCTCCCGCAGCTTGAGGAGCGGGATTCGGAGCTCTGGGACCGGGAGGGGCAGCGGTGGCGGCGGCGGCGGTGAGACTTTCGGGGCCGGCTTCGAGATCTTGGGGAGTTGAGAAGGATCCAGTCAGAGGAGGAGAGA